AATACTTCTTCTACTTGTAAACATATAGTTAAGTAATACTTCTTCTACTTGTAAATACATATATAGTTAAGTAATACTTCTTCTACTTGTAAATACATATAGTTAAGTAATACTTCTTCCACTTGTAAATACATATAGTTAAGTAATACTTCTTCTACTTGTAAATACATATATAGTTAAGTAATACGTCTTCTACTTGTAAATACATATATAGTTAAGTAATACTTCTTCCACTTGTAAATACATATAGTTAAGTAATACTTCTTCTACTTGTAAATACATATAATTAAGTAATACTTCTTCCACTTGTAAATACATATAGTTAAGTAATACTTCTTCTACTTATAAATACATATATAGTTAAGTAATACTTCTTCTACTTGTAAATACATATATAGTTAAGTAATACTTCTACTTGTAAATACATATAGTTAAGTAATACTTCTTCTACTTGTAAATACATATATAGTTAAGTAATACTTCTTCTACTTGTAAATACATATAGTTAAGTAATACTTCTTCTACTTGTAAATACATATAGTTAAGTAATACTTCTTTTACTTGTAAATGCATATAGTTCGAAGATGTTCATCCATTGGTGTCCCGGATCGTGGAATGAAAACGTGTACGAATGGAAATGCTTGGAGCAGCACGTGCGTATTTCACTGTATGCCAGGGTACGAATTAATCGGTAGACTGTCTGTCACGTGTGAATTGGGCGGAACCGACGTCCAATGGTCCGGCGATCCACCATTATGTTTAGGTAAATAGACTTGTATTTTTTTTATTGTCTCTTGATGATTTTTCACCGCGAACTGTTTCCGTAATTTAAAATGGACAATCGAATTGCAACTTATCGAACCGGAAACAGTAATACTTCTCCGCTCCTTAAGTGATGTAACAACAAAGTAAATGTAACAAATCTGATGTATTTGCTCCACTTGTACTAGCAGGCGCTGTAACCTTGTAACGTTCGTGAAATCAGTGGGGAAATATTGAGGTACTATACTATTATAGAATTATTATTATTGTTGTTAATAATTATAGAGTCCCCCAGTGGGACAGCGGTAAGTCTATGTATTTGCAGTGCTAAAATCAGGGATTCGATTCTATTCAGTGGACCCAGCAGATAGCCAGGTGTGGCTTTGTTATAAAACACACACACACACACACATACAATTACTACACAATCGTAACTTCTAAATTAATGATCACATATTTGTAATTAATTAAAGTATTTATCTAAATAGTTATAACTGTCACAATTAGTGGATGTCAGATTACGTTCAGTTTCAGAATTTGCAAAAAAAAATTAATATGCACAGACAAGATTTTGCCACAGATCCACACTAGCTTATGACTTTTACAATAAACTATCTTGTCTACATAAATAAACATCCACACGAGGTTATAACTTTTACAATAAACTATCTTGTCTACATAAATAAACGTCCACACGAGCTTATGACTTTTACAATAAACTATCTTGTCTACATAAATAAACGTCCACACGAGCTTATGACTTTTACAATAAACTATCTTGTCTACATAAATAAACGTCCACACGAGCTTATGACTTTTACAATAAACTATCTTGTCTACATAAATAAACGTCCACACGAGCTTATGACTTTTACAATAAACTATCTTGTCTACATAAATAAACGTCCACACTAGCTTATGACTTTTACAATAAACAATCTTGTCTACATAAATAAACGTCAATGTATGTATCTGTTCCTTATACTTATCCATAATTTTTGATCAATCAGCACCAAACTTGACACAGTGATACACAATGACACGAGGAAGGTCATAATGGAGGTTGGACCCCCCCCCCATTTAATTTTATCTTGATAGAATTCTTGAAAATAGCATGTCTGTATTTTCAGTATTTGTACCTTTATGTATTTTTATTGTATTTTTAATGTTTATTATATTAAGAAAAAAAATACAAACATAATTTCCTATCCTTTATTACAAACGAGTTTTTATTTCGCCCGTCCAACGGACAGGAACTCCAGCTAGTTTAACTATATTTGTTAATAATATTCATAACTAGTGATGGTTGAACGGCCTCGGTGTCCCGAACCCAAGGATCCCCAGAACGGAATGGTTCAGTGCGAACGTGAAGCCGAAGATGAGACGTATTCCCTGGGTACAGTGTGTTGGTACTACTGTAAAGAAGGCTACGAGATTCTGGACGAACAGATCGCCAATAGAGTCATTGCCTGTCAAGGGTCGACATGGAACAGTACACAGGAAGTAGAGTGTAAAAGTAAGTACAATGTAACGGAGAGCTAGAGTTTTCGTTATTACTTTCATATTAGTAATGAACTTAGAGTAAGAGTAAATAGATTGTTGTAGAAGTAAATAATGGGTAAGTGTAGGAGTCAGTATTCGCTAATATTAGTATTAGGTTAGTGTATGAATCAATATTATCTAAACATTAGAGTATAAGTGTGAGGTTAGCGTAAGTTAGGACTAAATTACTACAGTACTAACATTAGGAAAGTGTAATACTTAGCATTAGTTGAATTTGAGGGTTTTGTACGAGAGAGTAAATATTGGTTGTGTGTGTGAGAGAGAGGGTATCAACTATGTGTGAGAGAGAGAGAAAGTATTGAAGCTCATTGTCTAACACTGCTGCATACTTTTAGTATAAGTAATATTAATATCTATTCACTTATATAGGTATTACATACTCATGCTTAAAACTGATAGTTACTTCAACTAATAATTATTACTACTCGACCAGTGTATCTTCTTATACCTGTCTAAATCGTAACCTTAGACTCAGCTAAAATTCAATTCTACACTTGGCTGAGTTAATACTTACTCGCATAAACATCCAACGTTCAACTAGCACTTATCCTTACAGCCAACCAATACTAAATTTCTGTTTTAAATTCGGTTAACATATGCATTTATTACCTGCAAACAATGATATTTTACATAGGAAAAATTAATTATTACACTTATCTAATACATTCTAGTACAGTAAGCTAATAGCTGTTGTTATTGTTAAACTCAACCAAAACGTAAATCTAAACTCAACATATTATTTCACGCAAACAAAACATATTGTTACACTTAGCTAGTACCGAGTAAGTTTCAAATTAAACAAGTGTAAGGTCACAGTTATAGAGGTGAGTGAGAAAGAAGTTGATACAGACAGTGAACAGTACCGAGTAAGTTCCAGATTAATGGTGAGTGAGAAAGAAGTTGATACAGACAGTGAACAGTAAACAAGTACTAAGATAGCTAAGTGTAAGATTACAGTTCTAATGGTGAGTGAGAAAGAAGTTGATACAGACAGTGAACAGTACCGAGTAAGTTCCAGATTAGCTAAGTGTAAGATTACAGCTCTAATGGTGAGTGAGAAGAAAGTTGATACAGACAGTGAACAGTACCGAGTAAGTTCCAGATTAGCTAAGTGTAAGATTACAGTTCTAATGGTGAGTGAGAAGGAAGTTGATACAGACAGTGAACAGTAACAAGTAAGTTCCAAATTAAATAAGTGTAAGGTCACAGTTATAGAGGTGAGTGAGAAAGAAGTTGATACAGACAGTGAACAGTAACAAGTAAGTTCCAAATTAAATAAGTGTAAGGTCACAGTTATAGAGGTGAGTGAGAAAGAAGTTGATACAGACAGTGAACCCCCTGTCACATGGACACATATATATATATTGTATAGCATAATGCTTGTTTGTCGTTAAGCGCAAAGCCACACAACTGGCTATCTGTACTGTGCCCACCACAGGTATCGAAGTAAAAAATTGGTTATTTTGGAAATTCAAGAGTAAGTTTTTACAGAACTATAATATCAAGTTGTTTTTCAAATGTAATAAGTAATTATTCTTAAAATGATAGGTGTGAAAGGGGTGCTCATGTATGAATGATTTGACAGTATGAAGAGAGAGAGGTCAAAATTGTTCTAGAACTGCAGTCATGACTATGAGGCCTGCCAGTTTTGGTTGATGTGAAAGGGAAGTTAATACGAACAGTAAACGAGTACTAAATTAGCTAACTGTAAGATTACAGTTCTAATGGTGAGTGAGGAAGAAGTTGATACAGACAGTGAACAGTAAACAAGTACTAAATTAGCTAAGTGTAAGATTACAGTTCTTTATTATTATTATGTTCTTATCGTAGCTAAGCCTCGATACTTTAGAAGACTTACGTAAACACTTAACATCTTGAGTGACATTCCAAGTGAAGCCCTGACAATGGAGAACCTTTCTGTCTACAAACTCTTCCAAGATCTCGTATCCAACGTCACAGTAGTAACGGCAGGAGGCACCAGGAGGATAAAGCCCATCTGCTACTTCCGGTTCACAGTGTACAAACCCGTTGGCAGGGTTTTCAGGACGAGGGCAGAATGGCCGTTCTAAAGGCTGTCTCTCTCGTTCTGGCAAAAGTTAATTACGCTAGTGTGAAATTTGGAATGAACATGGTGCATATTCTATTTTTATTTCTAATAAAAAATTCACTATGGAAACGTTAGCTCCATGAAAACAAATAACAACTTTATAGAGACTACCCACGTCATTAACATGAAATATTCGATTCTTTGTATATATATATATATATATATTACATTCATTTAACAAACGTAAATTCTCGTAACCGTGAGAAATAGGTGTAATAGAAAATAGTTTCAACGAGATCATCATTCAGACCATAAAGTTCATACATTTGAAACATGGTTTTCATTAAAACACCATAAAGGTAGTGAACTGTATATATAAAAAATCCACAATTTTAAAAATATTGAAACTTAGCTTCTCATACCACGTCATTCAGCAGCACATTAACTGTTTATATACATTATAGAATTCATGTAAAATATTGATTCTTGAAAAACAAAACCTCTGTATATGAAGTTTCACTGCAAATTTCACGTTTCTTCGATTTTTCTGGATAATATTAGCATTTCTTTCCATTCAAATATCATTCAGTCAGCCAGGCTTTGCCCTAGTTACAAACACATGTCGAATGGTTAGGAAATATTGACGTTTAGGATCAAGTAACTGATCACGAAGATCGTAAATTGTGAATATAAAACATTAATGCTTAAATCAGTAATTTAATCTCATGATCCTATAACTATGTAGTTACCTCTATGGTACTAAAACAATATATTGTATTTCTCTCTCTCTATGGTACTAAAACAATACAATCCCATCCATAAAGCATAATATTGTTCCTGTCTCTTTGGTACTGTAACAATATAGTCCTATACATAATATTGTACTCTTCTTTATCATACTATAATATTATAATTCCATCCATGATGCCATAATATTGTTCCTGTCTCTTTGGTACTGTAACAATATAGTCCTATACATAATATTGTACTATTCTTTATCGTGCTATAATAATATAATTCCATCCATGATGCTATAATACTGTACTTGTCTCTTTGGTATTGTAACAATATAGTCCCATCAATGATACCATAACATTGTTCTCTTCTCTATTAAAACGATACCTACCCATATGATACCACAGTATGGTACCCGTCGCTATGATACTATAAAGATTTATTGCTGACTTAAATTCAAGGAACTTTTGTAAAACCACAATTAAAGTATTCACACACTCATCATTTAAAACACACACAATTTAAAATTCTTATTCTGAGACGTTAACGGCCTCAAAAACAGACATTTTCATGTTTCAACTTGTCAATAGAAAAATAAACGTTTTGTCCCACTATATGAACCTATGAATAAAATTAGTAAAAATTAAGTTGATATAATAATTGTAATAGAAAAAACAACAACAGGTAGTTACAAAAATAAATATGGATGTTGTTGTGTATACATCGGTAAAACTAAAAGAAATATGAGATTTAGAATAAACGAGCATTGTTTGTTTGTGAATTTCGCGCAAAGCTACACGAGGGCTATCTGCGCTAGCCGTCCCTAATTTAGCAGTGTAAGACTAGAGGGAAAGCAACTAGTCATCACCACCCACCGCCAACTCTTGGGCTACTCTTTTACCAACGCATAATGGGATTGACCGTCACGTTATAATGCCCCCACGGCTGAAAGGGCGAGCATGTTTGGTGGGACGGGGATTCGAACCCGCGACCATCAGATTGCGAGTCGAGTGTCTTAACCACCTGGCCATAAAACGTATTTTACCTCAACGGAATTATATGACGATTAGAAATATTAGAGAATTTATAGAAATTAATGAAACGTAGGAAAAATAATTATAATATTTTGAATAATAATGAAATGGTTGGCAGATCACAAAGTTTATAGATGGCGCGACCTATTTTAGGTTATATTGTGATCTTTTGTTGGTTAATCGTGTAAGTGTTTTAATCAATATATTTGTATTCGTGATACCAAACTATGATGCCCGTTTCTATAGTATCACAACAACAAATACCTCGCTATGAATGGTAATAGTTTTAATAACAACAGGTAAACCCCACGTATTTTTTCCTCGATAATACCACGAAAATGAGTCTTTACCCGTGATACTTCAACAGTTTATCTTTGACAATATCCTAAAATCATATTTTGTAACATAACAATAATCTATCTTTATCTAAATTACCTCAACAATGCATTTCTAACTATGATACCACTGTATTTATAATACAGCGATGGTGTATATTTATTGATGTATCTTTACTAATGTGACAATAATTGATCTTTATTTATGATGCCGCATGAATGTATTTTCGTCTCAGGTATCATAGTAATGTGTCTTTCTCTATGATCTTCAAAAAACAAAATTGGCTATGATATTTCGACAAATTTAGGTCTATGATGTCACAATTAAATTTAGTCATTAGATAAGACCCCACGTGGCATAGCAATATGTCTGCGGACGTTAC